AAGCAGATTTCCAGACCTTTCTTTCTGGTCTGTCTTAGTTTGGAAGCTTAGCTGAAACCTGTCCACCGTGGGCGACCCTGCTGGAATTTGAAATATCAGTGGGATGGTTTCTAGCATCACAGCAACACACAAGCCACCACAGTATGACACACGGACACGCAGGTGGGGGATGGGCTGTGTGGTATGACCCTACTGCTCTGACCCTTTTACTTGAAAATCTGCCATAAATGACTTGAGTATAAATCAGGTCTTGTCCTTGTACCTGGTTTGTCTAAGGGTCATGGGGACTAAAATTTATCACTGAGTGCCTTGGATGGGCACTCGTCAGCAGGTCATGGGGACACAGCCAACAGAACATGGACAAAGTAACCGTGGGCAGCTTCTCGGCCCAGCGGGGAATGTCAGCCTTGGGCCCGGAAGATGTGAGTCTGAGCTTCAGCCCCTGCTATTTGCCAATTGTCAGGACATGAACAAGTTGTTAAACTCTCTTGAGCCTTACCTTCCGGGCACATGAAAGAGACAGCGTGATGGTTAAATGAGTTAGAGTGTGTAGCATCGGGCCCAGCACGGGATTGGTGATCAGCAGATGCTGGTTTCCTTTCCCAAGTCCCTGGGTGATACAAACTGTTAACATACTCAGCTGCTAACCTGAAAGGTAGGAGGCTCAAGTTCACCCAGAGGCACCTCGGAAGAAAGGCCTCGCAGTCTTCTTCTGAAAAATCAGCCATTGAAAACCCTGCGGAGCGGAGTTTTTCTCTTCCATGTAAAGATGCGCCATGAATAAGGTTTCTTTCCTCGGCAATCATGACTTGAATCATGGTCGTGATCTGGCTGCGTGTTCAGAAACAACCTTCCCTTCAAACCTCTGTTTCTTAGTTATTTGTCATTTATTTACATTCATCCTGTTGGGTAAACGGCGCAGTGGTTAAGTGATAGGGCTGCTAAACAAAAGATTGGCAGTTCAAATCCACCAGCCACTCCTTGGAAACCCTGTGGGACAGTTCTGCCCTGTCCTCTAGGGTCAGTGTGAGTCAGAACCGGCTCGCCGGCAACGGGTTTGGGTTTTTTTTTGTTTTTTTGTTGGGTAAAACCTGTCCACACTTGCCCTCTATACCTTAAGTCAGTAAGTCAATTTTTAGGGTGGTGTTGGAACCTAAAATGGTTGGGAGGATTTTTAAATAGTATTTTTTGGACTTAAAGTCATTTTCCTTCTGCTTCTCCCACTTACTCACTTTGGGATGGAAGGTAACTTAGTTGAGCTCTCCAGCTCCTGTTTCCTAGTCTATAAAATGACAATAGGAATATGTTAGCTCAAGTACTGTGAAGATTACGTAAAGTAGTGTCTGCGGAGAGTTTGCCCCAGGCTCTGGAATATGGTTGTTGGTGTTGTTAGTTACCACCAAGTGGATTCCAACTCATGACGACCCCGTGTGTGCAGAGTAGAGCTGCTCCATAGGGTTTTCGAGGCCGCGACCTTCCAGAAACAGTTCACCGGGCCTGTCTTCTGACTTACCTCTGCGTGGGTTTGAATCACCAACCTTTCAGCTCGTAGCCGAGCGCTTGAAGGTTTGCGCCACCCAGGGACTCCTTTGGAATACAGTTGGTAACCAGGAAGCGTTACTTCTGTCTCCGTCCTCCACCCCTACTGACTTGACACCTGGCTTATTTTGACAAGAAGCATTTAAATGCACAAACTTAAGATAGTCAGGATATGCTTATAAAAAACTCTGAAGAATTTATTTGTAAAAAAATAATTAAAATTGCATGCATTCTTCCACTTTGGTGAGTGGCGTCTGGGGTCTTAAAAGCTAGCGAGCAGCCATCTAAGATGCCTCAATTGATCCCAACCACCTGGAGCAAAGGAGAATGGAGAACACCAAAAACACAAGGAAAATATTAGCCCAAGAGACAGAAAGGGCCACATAGACCAGAGACTTCATCAGCCCGAAACCAGAAGAACTAGGTGGTGCCCAGCTACCACCAATGACCGCCCTGACAGGGAACACAACAGAGAGTCACTGATGGAGCAGGAGAAAGGTGGGGTGCAGAACTCAAATTCGAGTAAAAACACCAGACTTAATAGTCTGACTGAGACTGGAGGAACCCCGGAGGGCATGGCCCCCAGACTCTCTGTTGGCCCAGAGCTGAAACCATGCCCGAGGCCAACTTCTCAGAAAAAGATTAGACTGGACTGTGGGACATAAAGTGATACTCGTGAAGAGTGTGCCTTTTAGCTCAAGTAGGTACATGAGACTCAATGGGTAGCTCCTGTCTGGAGGTGAGATGAGAAGGCAGAGAGGGTCAGGAGCTGGTTGAATGGACACAGGAAATCCAGGGTGGAAAGGAGGAGTGTGCTGTCACAGTATAGGTCACATAACAATGCGTGTATACATTTTTCTATGAGAAACTGACTTGAATTGTAAACTTTCACTTAAAGCACAATTTAAAAAATTGCCTGCATTCATTATTCTTGATACAGCCTACAGTCTTTAAATTCTGGTCAGCAGGTGGCTTTGGATCCCAGGTGTGTGTTTTGTTCCCAGAAAGGACAAAGGTATTAAAGGTCTGTTCTAAAATCTGGTATTCGAGACGATTTTCTGGAAATGGTTTATCCAAAGGGCCTCCCCTCCTGCTTTTTTGGAGATGCCCTGTCTTGTAGTTACGTTGAAATGTTGAATCTGTTCCCAGCTGAATGCTTTCCCGGACGCAGATCTAAATCGTCTGCTAGTCACTCAGGCTCCCAGCCCCGGAGCCATCTGTACCCTTTGCCATGTCCCCGATGTCCACAGCTCTGCAGCCACAGGTGCAGCCACATCTGCCTCCCTCCCACGCTGCCTGTGCCCTGGCTTACCCATCCCTCCCTGACTGCCCTGCCCATGCCCCGAGGAGCTCTGAGGAAACACAGGACTTTGAGACCCAATAAAGTCGGGATGCTCCACCTCCCTCTCATGGGGCAATTGCAGTAAAAACAGAAACAACAAACAAAACGGAACAAGACCCCCTTTAGCTTTGTGTAACCTAGTATCCCCCAGACTTATACGGTCACAGACACTTACATTTAGTCCCCCTGAGGGCTGGGGCTGGTCGAACCCCTCTTGGGGAAGGCGACTATCCTCTTGTCTGTTGTCTGTTACCCATCCGCTTACTGAACTAGCTTTGACAAAAAATGTCACACGTGAGGAGTGTGCCACTTAGTTCAGATACACGAGACCACGTGGGCAGCTCCTGTCCAAAAGCAGGACGAGAGGGCAGAAAGGGACAAGAACTGGTTGAATGGACACAGGGAACCCAGGGTGGAAAGGAGGAGTGTGCTGTCACATTGTGGGGATTACAACTAATATCACAAAGCAATATGTGTTATATGAGAAATTAGCTTGAGCTGTAAACATTCACCTAAAGCACAATTGAAAAAAGCAGAAGAAGAAATAAAGTAGCTTGGAGGTCAAATGCCCATCAGTAAGGGCGTCTGTGTGGTGTCATTCTGTGTGACATTAAAAAGAAGGCGGTAGAGATCGATGTGCTGACACAGGACCTTCTCCAGGATACGTGTGAAGCAGAGAAAGCAAAGCACGGTGTGTGGTGATCTGCCATGTGCATGTTCCGAGGCTGGACAGTTACCAAAAACTGACATGTGTCTGCTTCTTGAGAGGGGACTGGCTGTCGAGGAGAAGTGGAGGCAAGCTCCTCACATACACCTCTTGAGGCCTTTAGAACTTTCTGCTGTGTTGAACGCAGTACTTGTCTGCCCTGAACTCCACCAGCATCTCTCTTATGCAGAGAATAGGGTGGAGTCCTTGGCTGTGTGCTCGTGCCCTGTGGTTGGCCTCTGCCTACCTGCTCACCGGCCTTGTTTCTCACTCTGTCTCCCTGCTGGCCCTCTGCCCTGTCTTTCCCTCGACAAGTGCAGAGCAGCGGGGACTCGGTTCCCTGGGGCAGCTTTCCTTTCCCCTCCCTCGCACTTGGCTGCTCCACTTACAGGCCCTTGAAGCATCTGACTGCAGCAGCTTTTGGAGCAGCACCCCCCATGGAGTATGCAAGCATCTGACTGCAGCAGCTTTTGGAGCAGCACCCCCCATGGAGTATGCTGGCCCCGAATTCGGTTCTCTTGGCTTCCCTTCTGCCTCTGACTCTAGCTTATTGTGAAATGCAGAGCCCCAGGGTCCTCAGGCGACAGTGACACCCTGTGTGGAAAGGCCAGAAACTCCAGGGTTGAACAGATGTAGCCCAGGGTCCTTATTGGCCATGTGCCCTAGGGCATGTACCTTAGCACCCTCATTTCCCTTTTCCGCAAAATGAGGACAGTGAGACCCAGCACACAGGGTTTGGGGGTGTTGCATGTCTCTCTGGAACCCCAGCACAGTGCCTGCTGTCTCGTCCGTGCTCAGCGCACGTTGCTTTCTTCCTGTCCCTTCCTTCTTTCCCACTGACTATCAACCTGCCCTTCCCTTGGATCGTAAGGCCCTTGGGTTTGAAAGGAAAGAGCACGAGACCAGGAGTCACATATTCATCCTTGACTCCATCGATGACTAACTCTGTAGGGATGCTGGGGCCCTCACTGTCTTTGGGTCCTCTGCCCCTAACCTAGGGTTCATATTTATATCAACGCAGAAGAACTTTGATCATCTAAAAACTATGAACACAAAGGGTTAGCCTTGCAGCATGAGTGCAGATGCTCTCCCACCCACCAACCAGCCTATAGGAATATTTGGAAGATGAGTAAGATAATATTTTCCATATGCTAAGGAGCAGATGATTCAGCCCCATGCAAGGTAGAGTAGAAAAGCTCCCACTATTAACACAGTGACCTTGGCCAAGACGTTAACTGCTCTAGGCCCCAGTTACCTCATCTAAAATATGAGGGTAGTAAAACCCTACCTCACAAGGGCTGTTGCGAGGACTATATGAGGCGATTCATGTGGAAGGTCTTTGTGAACTGTGAAAGGCTCTACAAATGTCATCCGATGGCAGTTGTTAACATGTGTATTTGTCCATTGTTTCAGCGGAGAGTCCAGGATGTCATCAGTCCGATTGTGTTCGAAGCGGCCTACAGCCTCGGCGAGCATGTGACTGGAGGGGAGGAGAGGGAGCTGCCTGCGCTGACACCAGTGCTCCGCTGGAGGAAGGGACAGAAGATCGCCCAGAAGAATCAGGTCAGAACCGTGAGCTTACACCCGGGCCCCAGGAAGGCTGGTGCATGTGGCAGAAATAATGGCTTGGTGGTCGAGAGCTGGCGGCCTGGCTCCCTGGGGGACCATGACCAGGTCACACCCCCTCTCTGGGCCTGCCATTCCTGATCTGTAAAACGATGAAATTGATGATCTTTACGATTGCTTCGGGTCCCTGGGTGCTGAGAGCAATTTGCACTCAGCTACGAACCTAAAGGTTGGCAGTTCAGACATACCTAGCTGTGCCATGGAGGAAACTCCTGGCCATCTGCTTCTGTAAAGATTACAGCCAAGAAAACCATATGGGACAGTTCTAGTCTGTAACACATGGGGTCACCATGAGTTGGAATCAACTCCACAGCAGTGGGTTTAGGGTCGTATCTAACTACTCTGTGATTAAACACATTGAGACTATTCTCAAGTAGTTAGGAAGTGATTAGCCCTTGAGACTGTGAACTGACCACTTAACCCCTAAATTTGGCCCCCGTTCCGAGATGGCTTCCAGAACTTATAACAGGGATGGGTGCATGATAGTTGCTCAGTAAATGTTTGATGGGTGGGAAAGTGAGGAGGGTGAAGAAGCAAGAACTTCGTCTTGCTGAATTGGTGATTGGAAGCTGGGCCACTAGGCATGCCAGTGGGTGGCCCATCCTGGCTGAGGCGCATCAGATTCTAGGATGTGCTGGAGGAGCTGTAGAGCTGTGTTTGGTGCAGCCCACACGAGGTAAGTGAGCCCGTGAGCTGTCTCTGCCCTCGGCAGTCTATGAGACATGCAGCTTTGAGCACTGTGCAGGAATTATGCAAGGAATCCCTGGCCCCAAGTCTGGTTGAAACCCAAGATAGATCCAGGACCTCAGGGAAGGTCAGGAAAAATGAGCTTTTTTTTGCTTCAGTGGATCCCTGTGCAGGGTGGAGGCGAAGCTGTGGACTCACCCACTGGCCCCACCCTCCAAGGTTCCTCAGACTGCTCTGAGCTTGGGGACTGTCAGCAGATGAGTGACCCATGCCTTGCAGGTTAGAATTGCAAACTGAACTGCAGAGAAGTGTTTGGGGTTCAAGATGTCCATCCAGGTGTTCAGTTAAGCGGTGAGATTTTTCCAAGACGTCCCTGTTTTCTTCCAGAGTGTCTTCCACATCATCTTGGGTCAGGTTCCTTAGAAGCAGAGCCCAAGACAGGGATTCAGGAGCACGTGTTCTAATGAGGATGTGCTGTTGGGAGACACCTGTAAGGAAGTGAGGGAAGGGGCAAGAGCAGTGCAAGGATGTGGTCTCAGCTCCGGTCTAGCCTTAACCTGATCCTTCGGAGACTCTGGAGCGTAAATCACACCAAGGACTTGTCCTCTCCTTGAGGCATGGGGGCTGGCCTTTTGCACTCGTACTAGTCAGCCATCGGCTGGCTGCAGCATGTGGAAGGGGAGCATAACCCCCCTTGAAGGAGGCTCCCTTTGGCTGAAGACAGTACTCTGGAGAAGGACACAGTTGATTGCCTTTAGCAGCAACGCTCACATCACCTGGGGGCTGGGGCAGTAGTTGTAAAGGGATTGGGCAGGCTCGACAGTGCCCACTGCACATACAGCCTATTGGCAGTATTGCATTTCAGGATACTTCTTTTGATTTAAAGCTTACATTTCTTTCAAAACACCAGTGCCTCTGTGGGATGGCTGGTAAGCCCCATTGGCTACTGATACTTGGAGCAGGCTCTGGCAGAGTGAAGGGAGGAACCCCAAGGGCAGGGTGTCCAAGTGGGTGGGGCAGAAGTAGTAGGATTGGCATTAAGGAGAAGTAAAGAAAGCAAGGATAAGGGAATAAGAAGATGAAGAGGACAGGAAGCTGATGACTTCTACCTTCACTGAGAAATAGAAATTCATGCCATCTCCCGACAGTGAAGAAGGGGGAAGGGAGCAGGCTGGGGACTTAGTAAACTGATAATCCCTAGAGAATTAGTCTGCTCTTCCTAGGATTTCTCTGCTTTGTAAGGTGGCATCTTGCCGGCCTGATAAACTCACCCATACTTGTGTTCATGGGAGTGGTCCAAACTCAGGTATAGGAATTATTTCAGGGTACTCTTTGATTGTTATAGATTTGAAACAAGCCAGTGAGGTAGCCACCTGTTCTGTTCAGCATCTTGCTAGTGCTGGGCATAGCTTCCACAGTGGACCCAGCTCTCACACCTACAAATCCATCAGTGGCAGACAAATGGACCCTGTTTAATGAAAAGCATCTTAGAACCTTTATTGACATTTTTAGATTCAAGTAGTCTGATCAGTGCCAGAGATTCAGGGACAGATTAATGTTAAAATGCAGTTCTTGGTCACTTCTAGTTCAAGATGGGCAGCCAAGCACAAATGTTTGTATCTGTGCCTCCTGATACCCCATTACACTTATGGTAAACGAATAAATCCCAAATAAGAATGAGAACACTGGGTATGGAGGCATTAGCCAATGAGAGAGTTCAGTAATTTTCTGGAGTGAGAAAATAAGATGGAAGAGTTTTGATGGGTGAAGCACAGAGGGGCTGCAGAGAGCCCAGACGTCTGTCTGCCCACAGAACCAAAGAGACTGTAGTCAGGACCAAAAGTTACAGATACGACAAGAGTGAGAAGTGAGGCTAAAAAGGGGAAGGGAGTGTTGAATGAAGGTTGAGAGAGGAAGAGTTGACTTCCCACCCTGTCCCCACCCCTGTAGCTTCAGGAATGCAGAATGTCAAACAGCCAGGCACGTTCTCCTCTGAAGAGTTGAGAAAACTGCTTAGGATAGTATGGGTGGTCTGATTCCCCAGAGGAAAGCCTTACTTCTGGCATTTGGAGCCTCCAGTATAAGGGCTAGCTTCCTCTCCTACCATCTACCCAGACACGTCCACAGATTATCTAATCAGCCCCTTTACTTCCTTCTTAAATATGAGTGAACAGTTAGGGAAACCTGAGTTTAGGGGAAAATGTGGTGCATAAAGACCAAAATAAACCAAGGGAGTAACTGACTTGGAAGGAAACAATACAGAGAGTAGAAGAGATAATTGAAAACAAAACAAAACAAGAAAACCTTAAACTCTGCAGTAAACACAAGTAAGTTTAAGAATGTATTCCATCCATTAGAAAATGGATGAGATTCTATTTCTTTTTATAAGGAAGACTCAGAAAATAAGAGGTTCTTGAAAATTAAAAACGTGGTTACAGAGCCAAAAGTTCCATGGAAGGATTTGAAGGTAACGCTAAGAAATCTGCTAGTAAGCAGAGCTGAAAGAAATAGAAGTGGAAAGAGAGCCAAAGGATCAATCTAAGGTCCTATAGCAAAGTAATAGGGATACCAGAAAAAGTAAACAGAGAAAATGAAGAGGAAATTTCAAGAGATATAATAGAAGACAATGTGCCAGAGTTAGAGAGAGAGACTATTTTCAGTTGTAAGGGCCCACCAACTCACAAGCAGAATAACCGAGACCTGTCATTTTGAAATATCAGTGTTCCAGAGACTAAAGGAAAGTTCCAAAAGCTCCCAGAAGACATAGGTTAGCTTACAGTGGAATCAGAGTTGAGCTGAGTAGTCCATTAACCTTCTTATCATGAAGATAGGAAACAAGAAGATGGTGAAATGCGGGCTTCAGACGTTCTAAGGGAAAGTTATTTTGAAACTAGAATTTTATACTATTGGTTAAGTATGAAGTTGAAACAAAGTCATTTTTCAGAAAAGCAAGGACTCAAAAACTTTACTTCCCTAGTAACCTCCCAAGGAAATTACCTAAGATGCACTCTGACAAAATATGCATGACAACAATGAAGAGCAAGATGTGGAATGCGAGAAACTCTGAAAATAAGCCCCAGAAGTCTAGTGACAAGAAATTCCAGGATGACAGCTGCAGCAGGCTAAAAAAATTTGATCCAATTTAGAACAGAAGATCAACGAGCAAGAAGAATGACACCAAGCAACAGACAGAATGAGAAGAAACTGGCAAATATTCAGGATACAGTACAGATGGAATGTATTTTTCTATGGATATGAAAAAATTAAGGCAATCAAAAACTCCAGGAAAAATAGAAATACGTTCAATATGTCATGGTTCACCTATAAAACAAATTAAAATGTGGTGGGGTTTTGAGTGTGTAGAAGGGTATAAGGAAGGAGTATTTATTTGACCTTGATCATGGAAACATTCTCCCTTAAGTAGAAGAAGTTGAGTGTTCCTGGAGTTTTAACTTCGTAACTATCAAGGGGGATATGTAATCATGACACTGTCTTAGCACTGCTGTGAACAATAAACATGTAACTGTAATAACTAAAGTTCTTTTTGCTGGTTTTCAAGTATTTACAGTCAAGCCAAAATCAATGCTATGGTTTAGTATAGAATTTAAATGCCATTATATTTGGCTATATAGAGGTAAAAGTAGGGCAGGAGTTTTTTCTTTTAAATTGGTGAGTCAAGAGATATTGCAAAATTAAACAAGAAATAGCTCTTTACTGTTAAAACTGAAGAGATAACCGATAGAGAAACGTTCTTAAACTGTGATCCCCAGACTAGCAGCATCAGCATCAATGGAAACTCGTTAGAACTACAGATTCTCAGGCCCCGTACCACACCTACTGAATCAGAAACTCTGGGTGTGGGCCCGGCAATCTGTGTTTTAACAAGCCCTCCAGGTGATTCTGATGCACTCCAAAGTTTGAGAACCACTTCAATAGAAGAACTAAAAATAAAGATTTACCTGTCAAAATTAGGAATGGGAAAGTGCCACATGTAAGTGGGACAAATTCTCCTTTATCGTGGCAGGAATTCAGCAGATACTGTCTGGCTCGGATAAATTAAGGAGTAGCGGTATTCGCATGGTTTTTAGAGCTATGGAAGTAATCACTGAAAGAAACATAAGTGGACATGGGTAATGGTGGTTGCCCTGGAGAGCAGGACTTTCTGTGGGGAGGTGTGCGGCTGGGGGCTATTATTATTATTTTGACCATGTGATTACTTTGGTTGAAATTAAAATAAAAGAAGAATATTG